ACAGTGTCAAGTGCAACGTCAGGTAGAGCCTGTGGACTTTAATGCTAGCAGACTCGTCTACTTTAAACCAATAGGGAGAGAGAATATGGGGAACAGAGAACAGGCATTGAGAAGGAAGATATGAACAGTTGATGTACGGCAATAGGGAGCCAACAGGAAGACAGAAGCCCCTTCTGAAACTGGGGTTCATCGATACTTATTACTGACATCTAAACCACAGCAGCACAGCTCACCTGAGCAGATAACATCACTGATGTGTGGTTCATAGGGACATTATTAAAGACCTTTGAAGAATACAGACGACTATGTGGTGAGAGGCTAAGAAGACAGGAAAAGTTACTTTGTGACCCATTTTTAAAATGCTAAGATAGCATTCAGCTCTGTACCTATGTGGTACACTTTTTCCAGGCTAAGTTTCTGTCAGGAGACATTTACTAGGATTTTGGGCATTTGACCTTGACTTCTATATCTGGGCTTCCTGATAGTCTTCTGAAGTACTGCGATAATGCTAGTTTGCCACTGACATCATCAGAATTCCTTTCAGGGTGGATATCTGTCTTTACTCAGGAAAAGTATTTCCTAAGGTGCTAACGAGGAGAACGAGCCCCCTCAAGCACAGGCTGACAGGCAGGAGAAGGCAAAGTTGCCTCAGTTGAATGTAGGCTGAAAGGGGAGGATGTGTGATGAGGAAGAAGAAAACAGGAGGTGGGGAGGGAAAACTTACAAGGGATCTGGAAAGGCCCCAGGACGTGGGTGGCTGGGCATGGAAAGGCTCCCACCAACAGATGTCCACTCTCCAGTCGGAAGTTTCTCTGATGGCTGCACTGGGAATCTTGCCTCTTCACTGCCCGTGCCTTCAGTAAAGTGCAGCTAGAGGGGTACGAATTTCCTGGACGGAGTGGGTTTGTTGGGTCCTCGAAACTGATAGGACTTCACATTGGATTTGAGAAAATAGTGACTTGGGAGGCCATGCCTTAGCTAAAGGAATAGGAATTTTCACAGAAAAGGGCTCAAGCAATTGTCAAACATTATTTCTTTTCTCCCCACTAAAGAAACTTTCAGTTCCTTATGGGAATGTTGCTGTTCGGGTACATGCGAACATGTAAGTTAAGATAACTCAAGGTACGGTAAAACATGACACCTATTACTTTCAGATAGCACCCTAAAGTGAAAGAATGTGCGTATGTCCTGGTCACGCTTCCTGTTTTCACTGGGCAGTGAGTCATGCAAGAGATGGAGTAGCTACTTTGGACCTAAACTTGGATTGCTCGTGCTGGGGAGGATAGATATTTCTTAGCAGGCCTGGATTGCTGACATTGGGGCAAGAGAGGAAAGCAAAACACAAGACACCAAGTTTCAAAATCACATCTCTTACAGCCTGGAGAAGACAAGCGTGCATAACCAGCTACTGACATCACAGATTATAAGTCACACCTCGGCTTGCAGTGGCTTGTAAATGAAAGATTTGTGCCCTACCGTCAAGAGCATGTGATAAATGGTCTCTTTAAAATTGAAAATAGATTGTTTTTCATACAATATATTTTGATTATACTTCCTCCTCTTCTAAATCTCCTCCAGTACCCAACACCGCTCCCATCTGGAACCACACTTTTTCTGTTTCTTGTCAGAAAACAAACAGACATCCAAGGAATAATAATGCAATGAAATGCAATGAAATAAAATAAAATAGAAAAACTGTCTTCTTAAAGAGGTTATTTGTTGATTTTTGTGTATGTGTCCATCTGAGTGTGTCCAGGGACTTGTGTGCACAGCCCAGAAGAGGGGCATTAGGTATCCTCTTTATCGTCTGCTGCCTCCTACTCTGAGGTAGGGTCTTTCTCGCAACCTGGGGCCTATGTTTCCCAGGCTAGCTCGAAAGTCAGCAAGCTCCACTGATCTTCCTGTCTTTGGCTGAGCTGGAGCTGGGGTCACAGTAATGTGCAGAGTGCCCAGTTTGCTACATGGCTGCTGGGTTCATGATTGTTGTCCTTCTTGATTTTCTGTCCACTTGACACAGCTGGAGTTATCTGGGAGGAGAACCCTCAATTGAGGAACTATCTCCACCAGATCACCATAGTCAAGTCCATAGGACATTTTCTCGATTAATGATTGATGTGGGAGGACCCAGCCCACTTGTAGGTGATGACATCGTTGGGGATGTGGTCCTAGGTGGTATAAGAAAGCAGGCAGGGCAAGTTGTGGAGAGCAAACCAACAAGCGGTATTCCTCCATGGCTTCATTTCCTGTCTCCAAGTTCCTGTCCTGAGTCCGCTCCACTAAGACCTGTAACCTGTAAGATGTCATAAAGGCCTTTCCTCCCCAAGTTGCTGGTGCTCATGGTATTTGTCACAGCAATAGACATTTAACTAAGACAGTTGTGAAGCAAGCACTCTTAATGGCCAAGCTGTTTCTCCAGACCCATAAATTATCTCGTTTAAGTCCTTGCCCTTTGAGTCTTGTCACCACTATAGCTGATGGCATTTCCTTCACAGCAGAGAATATTCCTCTAGGAGTCCCACCACGATGAAATGCAAAATAAACAGAATAGTTTAACGGGTCTTAAGAAGCACAGGTAAATGTGGTGGACTAAGAAGCTGGTAATCTTGTTGTGTTTAGAAAAAATACTCAGAAAAATATTATTTATTAAAACTTTGAAAGATAGACTGCATGTTATTAAATTAGAGATGTCAGTGAAACTGACTGGGAAAACTCAGAATATTAATATGTCTTAGATCCTTTTTGCTACTCTTAGCTGCATGACCTTGAGCCATCATAAAAGGCAACTCTCACTCTAAAGGGGCCACATTATCATATGATATAGTACCAACACGATCTCATCACTTGCCCGAAGCCTGTGAGTTCAAATAATGGGAGTTGAACCAGGACCTAAAATCAAAATAGGCATATAACTGTTCCATACAAATATGCTGTTTCAGAAGGTACCCAAGATGTTCCTAAGAGGAGGAGGGAGACCAATTAGGACAGGACTCTGGGCCTTGGAGAGATGGCTCAGTGGTTAAGAGCACTTTCTGCTCTTTCTGAAGGCTTGAATTCTGTTCCCTGCACTCACAGTGGTGGCTCACAACTCTATAACTTCAGCTTCAGGGGATGGATACCAAGCCCTCTTCTGGGGTGCACGTGCATGCACACACACACACACACACACGCACACACACATGCACACACACACACACTCAAATACATCTTTAAGAAAAGACAAGATTAGGCACATTCAGAGTGGTGTGTCTGCAGACAAAATGCAGCTCTGCTCGCATGAGAATATATATAAGGGTGGAAACAACTGGGACTGAGTAGTCAGAAACCAGAAAATATTTTTTTGAGAAATTATTTAATTGCCAATGAAACCACAATTCTTTCTAAAAGACTGCAATTCTTCCACATCTAAAAATACTCCAACTCCCAAATATGCCCCAAGCAGGAAGAAAGTTGCAAAAGCCATGTTTGCTCCAGGAGGACGGGTAATGCGAAAGGAGGACCTCAGAGGGATCAAGTCAAGGGGACATTTCAGGTCACAGTTGGGGCCTTTGGTGACTGGTATGGACACAATTCATGCTATTTTTTTTTCTTTACCTTTCCTAGGGCAAGGCTTGCTTATTTATTTTAATTCCTCAAGTTAGCAAACAAAGTAATAGGTTTCGTTAGGGCATTTCCCCCTACATATCTGTCATTATATGTATCTTTATTTATCCCCCCCTTCCCTACTCCCTTCCTCTTGTCTCTCTTCGGTGGCTGCTTCTTCCCTCAAAAGTCCACCTTCTGCTTTCATTGTCGAGGATTCCATTGTTCTCTCTTCCCCCTCCCCCCTCTCTTAAGACTCCCTCCCCGTGGTCTGCTTTCACAACTAAAACATATAACCACATATCAATTTAAATCTATATTCAACATATGAGAAAAAAACACGCAGTATTTGTGAGACCCAGCTATAGCACTCCCCAGCTAGTCCTGAGGACTTAACATCCTACTCCATAGCTACTTTTTCTCCCCTCTTCTCTCTCTTCCCTTTTGAAGCTATTGTGAACTAGATTTCTCCCTACCCCTGATTTTTTTCCTCAGTATTTATTATTGGCACCCAGAGAAGGTACCGATTTTTGTAAGCAGATTGATTTTGTATTTTGCTACAAAATACTTCATTGAAAGTCTTTATCAAGTGCAAGAATTTCCTCATGAAGTCTTTAAGATTTCTTGTAAGGAGTATTATGCCATCTGCCAACAGAGTCTTTGTCACGTCTCCCGTTCCCATTGGTATCTCTCTTATTTCCTTCTCTTGTCTTACTTCTCTAGCTAAGGCATTGAGGAGTATGTTAAGAGTAGTCACTGGGCACTCTTGTCTCACTCCTGGCTTTTGTGGGAATTCGTTGTTTTTCCCATTTAGTATAATGCTGGCTATAGGTTTGTCATAAGTTGTCTTTATTATGTTGAGATATGTTTTTCTTTGTCTAGTTTCTTCAGAGTTTATTTTTTTAATCAAGAAGGGATGCTAAATTTTGACTGATACCTTTTTCCCTCAATTGAGATGGTCATGTGATTTCTATTAATATTCTGTATTACATTTATTGAGTTGTATGTTGAACTAACCTTGTATTCCACAGATGAACCCAATTAAGTCATGATATATAATTTTATTAATGCGTTCTCGAATGTGGTTTACAAGACTTTTTTTTTTGAGAATTTTTGCGTCTGTGTTCATCAGGAAAAGTGGTGTATTGTTTTCTGTTTGTTGTGTGTCCTTGTCAAAATTTATACTAGTTTTGATATTAGGACACTACTGTCATAGAATGAGTTTGATAATGCTCTTTTTTCTATTTCGTGGAAGAGTTTGATAAGCATTTTAGCTCTTCCTTAAAGTTTTTGTAGAACTCCGCAGCGAATACATGCAATACTGAGCCTTTCTTTGTGGAAAACTTAACTTTTTGTTGTTGTTATTATTTGAGATCACGCACAATGTATTTGATGGCATTCATCTTTGCTCTCCCCCACAGCTGTTCCTGGATCTACCCCTCCCCATCCACCCAAAGAGACTAATTTGTGACACCAAACTATTGTTGATGGTATGGCCTTCTACTTATCCAAGGATCATGGCTCACATGCCAGGGGCTACTCCATTAGACAACTGACTTTCTTTCCCCAAGTAGTTAGTAGTAGATTTTCACTAGGGTTTGTGACCTATCAAGCCATAAGTCTTGGCCCAACAATGGTACCAGATACAGCTTTTGTCTTGTGGAGTGGGACTTAAATCCAATCAGAAAGTGGTTGGTTACTCTCATGATATTCCAAGGAACTTCTATTAATTCCTGTAGAATAACAGCTGGCCTGGCAAGACACACCCACTGGTACAATAGTGGGTGCGTCTTGCCAGACCAGTCATTATTGTTGCTTTTAGGCTTCACAGTTGGGTAAAATGTGGGAAGTTTTTTTTATTACTGTTTTAATCTCAATGGTTGTTATTAAAGCACTTAAATTAAACATCTTCTTGAATAAATTTTGGGGTCATATACTAATAGAAAATTATTTATTTTTTTCAATTTTCCTTTTTTTTAAAACATAAAGTTTCAAAGTATTTTCCAATGACCCTCTGGATTTTGTTGGAATATGATGTAATATCCCTTTTTGGGTCTCTAATTTATTAATTTTAGTCTTTTCTCTCCTTTTGATTAATTTTTCTGGGGTATGTGTCAATCTTGTTTATTTTTTCAAAGAACCAACTCTTGGTTGATTAATTCTACATAGAGTTCTTTTAGTCTCAATTTCATTAATTTACAGCTCAGTATTTATTATTTCTTGCCTTCTACTGCTTTTGGTTTAGCCTGGTGTTTTTCTAAGATTTTCAGTTAGGTGATTTGAGATCTGGTTTTTGTTTTTAACGTAAGTACTCATAGCTGTAAACTTTCTTCTTAGAACTGCTTTATTTGTATCCTAAAGGTATTGATAAGTTTTGATTTACTTTTATTTAATTCTAGGAATTAAAAAAGCCACAAGTGAGGAAGAATTGAAGCCTTTGGGGTCAAGGACAACCACATGAAAGTCACAGAACCAACTAATCTGGGCTCATCCAGGCTCACAGAGACTGAACTGACAACCAGGGAGCCTGCATGGGACTGACCTAGGCCCTCTGCGTATATATTACAATTGTGTAACTTGGTCTTCTTGTGACCTAACAGTGGGAACAAGGGCTGCTCTGACTCTATTTCCTGCTTCTGGGAGTCTCTTTTCAGAAGAGAAACAGAGGAGGAGGAAGGAGGGAAGGAGGGGAAATCTTGGTCAGGACATAAAAACGAACAAAAAATAAGTAAACAAACAAACAAACAAAAAGTTTTTTTAAAAAAATTCCCTCCCTGATTTCTTCAGTATCCATTTGTCACTTAGGAGTGCGCTGCTCAGTCTCTGTATTTGTGTATTTCTCTTGCTATTGCTCTTGAGTTTTGTTCCACAATGATCTGGTAAGACAACAATTATTTGTGAGTGGAAGGGGAGTGGGGAAAAATGTATAGCACTTTCCTATCCAAACAATTAGAATGAGAAGGATTTAATTTAAAAGAAAAAAAAAAGAAGAAGAACTTCAGATAAGGCTTGACAAAAACCCTAGCAGCAACATCAGCTGGCAAAAAAAAAAGAAAAAAAAAAGAAAAAAGAAATGTTCTCTGAGTAGATAGGGAGAGGAAGGGGGGAAGGGGGAAGGGGAGAGAATGGAAGGAGAGGAGGGAGGGGAAACTTGGGTTGGCATGTAAAATAAATGAATAAATTTAATAATAATAATAATAATATACATGGAAGAATAACTGTTCTGTGCTCTAAACTGTTTTAGATTTTGCAGAAAGTAGAGTGGGCTGCTAAAAAGAAAGGGGATTCCATATTCTATGTGGACAATTCTGAGGGCATCTCTCGAGGCCATTTAATCTATGTTGTCATTTCATTGTACGGTTCTCTCTTATTTTTAGTTTGAATGACCCATCTAAAGACAAGAGTAGGATATTCAAGTTACCCATTATAAACAGGACTTGTGTGATGGTTTACAAACATTAGTGTTTGTTTGATGAAATTGAGAGTCCCAACTTTTATAACATTTCAATTGAACATCTGTGTCAACCCCAGCTTCTAGGTTTTTGATAGACTGATTACTATTCCATGACTCTCTGTGGGTATCTGATTGACCACCATTCTATGACTCTGTGGGTATCTGATTGACCACAATTCTATGACTCTCTGTGGGTATCTCTGATTGACCACATTCTATGACTCTCTGTGGGTATCTCTGTCATGAGGTGTGTTTTCTGGAGACAATGGATAGCTGGACCCTGTTTGCTAATTTAATTAGCTAATCTGAATTTCTTTGTTGGTAAGTCGAGGCCATTTACATGGGAGATTATTATTGAAAGATGCCATAAAGTTCCTGTAAATTCATTGATTGTTACTTTGGTTAGTGGGATTATTGCTTGTTCCTCACTTTCTTCTCTATTAATTTCAGATAATTTGCTGATTTATTGTGTTGGACACAATGGGTTCCTTCCTAGCTCTGCCTATGAAATTTATCCTTTTCTTTATGCGCATGATTAAGAATGACTTTCTTCTTTATGAAGATAGTATCGTAGTATCTTCTGCCATGTTGACTAGGTAGTCATAAACTGCCTTTGTTTATGCTTGTCTTGAAATGTCCTTATAGTCCCACCAAGTTTAAAAGGTAGCAGTCCCAATTTTCTCAAGTAGACATTTAAAAAATTAAAATTTGTTTCTCTTCTGCCATGACTGATCCTGTGTGTATATGTGTGCCCCTTTGAGTATGTGTGTAGAAGCAGCAGGCAACTCCTCAATAGATCACGAGGAGTCATGTTTGGGCTTAGTGGATAGACAATTCCTCACAGGGGAACCAGAGTCTGGAGCTAGATACAGCAAGTAGCTCGAACATTGTGTTGAATCTGCCAGGGATGAGGCACACATGCTCCGTTAGCCAGAAGTGTGTGAATGGGTAGAGTGTGTCTAGAAAGGTGCTGTGTGATGAAGCCTGGTGGGTGTGCTCCAGCTTCTATTTTCTCTCCCCTTTTGATCGAGAATGTCTTTGTCAGTTGGACTTAAAACAGCTCAGGAAAACAAACAGGCGACAAACAAACAAACAAACAAACCCCTCCCCCAAGATGTCCTAGGAGTTGGAGTATGAGCGGAAATGACGATTGACACACCCACATTGCGACTTTAAGGCAGGGCCGTGCGTTTTTACAGGCTCTTTCTTCATCCTGCTGTCTGGAAGACAGATGTCATGGTAGGCACAAGATCAGTCAGCCAGAACTCAGGCATGAAGGCTGGGCTGTGAGGCGTCACCATACCTTCCTTGATCTGGGAATCACAGAACCGTTACTTGAGAAAGACTGATCTGCCAACATGTTTATTTCAGCAGTTTATACTGAACCCAGGGAAATGCAAGTGCTAACCTAAGGCAAGCTCCATCTTCGGAGTCCAGGAGTCCTCAGGTAGACTTCTGAATGAGAAACCTAAGCCAAACACTACATCCCAAGGATCAGATGAGGAGATAAGAGCTACATCTCCCATGGGCTTTCTATTTCCCAGAAACCCAGACAGGAAGTAGAGATGCTAATATTGCCATAGCAGCTGTTGCCTTGAAAGCCGTCCAAAATGCAATGGGAACCTCACTGTCCAAAATTTTATATGTTAAAAGTCACAACGCTCGTTCCTGAATTATTGCCCACAAGTCGATATTTTAATGCTGTTAGAGACAGCCAACAGAGATCCAAATGCCTCTCATTTTGCAATAGAAACATCTACCTAGTAGTTTTTAAATAAAAAGAGATGCAAAAACCCTGTCTCTCAACACCCACACAATTGTTCTGCCCGTTTCTTTCTTTAGAACTTCTACTGAGCCGTGCTTGGGTGGAGACACGCTTTCTCTGCGGTTTTCATTAGGATTGCTTGGGGAGTTCAGGCTGGACCTTTGCAATACCCGCTGCCCTGTTTGAGGCAAAGCCTTCACTCCTGAGGAAAGTGACCACCTTTCATTAGGCAGGCATTTGTAGAGATCAGCTGTGAATCACACAGTATTCATAGTTGTTGAGGACAGATAAAATATATCTGTGCTTCCTGAGATTTATATACAGGGAACATGATAAATAAACTATATTAAACTATGATATGCTAAGAGGCAATGGAAAAATGAGCAGAGAAGGGAGATGGGGAGTGCTAGACAGGGGTATAATTTTAAACTGGGTGACTGAGACGAGCTTTCCTGAGAAGTTGTTATTCTGTCAAAGACCCGAATGAAGTAGGAAAATAGACCATGTGCGCATTTCTGTGAGCGGGCGTGTGACCTGCTCTAGGGAAGTGCAAAGGCCCTAGAAGGAGCTTGTCTCTGTCTGTCCTTCTCCCTCTGTGTTGTCTCTTTCTCTCTTTGCCCCTGCCCCCAGTGTGTTTTTCTCTCCCTTCCATGGTACTCACAATTATCGTTGCCTTGTTCTACTACAACTAGTGTGACGCCGTTTCTAGAACATAGAATCCTGTCCAGGACTCTGTCTGTTTAATTCACAATTAAACAATTCCCCCCAACAGTTCCATTACCTTCATTTTACAAAGAGTTCAGTGTCACGGATAGCCATGTAGATAGCAAAGGACAGATATAGAGTTAGGACCCCCAGAGTTTCCATCCCAAGACTTTGGTAATGGTCTCCGAGGTACACTATAACGCCCTTGTGTGCTCTGACAGTCTGCAGACAGAATCTAGTCTGTAGTCTGGTCTTGAATGCTTGAACTCTGGAAGATGCATTTGGTAGCTGGCCCTGAGTATCATCTACAGGGTGGAGGTGGATCTTCCATAAACAAGAATGGGTGCTGAGGAGGGAAAATATTCCTTGTTTTCCTTAGAACAAAACATCCAAGTTACATGGGAACGCACCACATGATTTTTGTGAATTGAAGTCAGTTTGGCACCAGCAGAAATAACCTCAGGAGCAAAGTTTGTATACAGCGCGTTCTTAGGGAAACAGCAGCCAGAGCACAGATAAACTGTTAACGATAGCCTCTTCTGGAGCTGTGTGAGCTGCCTTCGGGGAGACAGTAAATTGTTTCGTTTAGAAGCCTTGTACAGCAAAAACTAGATCTGCTTATACTTTAAAACCAGAAAGGAGGAGGAAGACTTATTTTTAGCTATGTGAAATTTAAACCAAACCCAACCCAGGCATGTAGATGCTTCAGGCTACACCATGTCTGATCTCCTAGTGATGACACAAACAATGATAGGGAGATTCTTCTGTTAGAGCGTGGCTTAATGACTCCAGGGACACTGGGCTAGAGAGAATGGATGTCTGAGGCGTGCAGAAGGCTGCCTGGGTTTGGGTTGCCCATGGTATCTAGGTTCAGTTCCATGATAATGAGTATGATACCGAGGACAGAAAGGGCAGTTTTTGGTGTTTATGCTGGATCATTGGAGCAAAGGCTTGCCTATTGCATTCAATTTATAAGAGAAAGCTAATTTTAAATGTGTGTGTATTTTGTAAATGAGGTTTTTAAAATATGTGTGTGGTGTAGAAGCTGTTCACACTCATTTTAGTTAAGCTCAAAAGTATTTGTTAATCTAAACATATTGACCAGAAATGTCTTACCTCAGAGATAAGCACTAAACATTTTTGAGTAAACATTTACAATTAAGTAGAAATATACATGCCCTGTAAATGTAGACATGGGTGTGCATACATAGATGTGCAAACTATAGACTCAGTTCACTATTAAAAATGCGATGAAAACATCAATATATCTGAAAGCCTGCTTTTTATTTTATTATTTTTCAGACACACATATAAAGATACAGCATAGGCACACAACACACACACAAAACATACACACATTTTTTTTTCCTTTTTAGATAATGTCTTGCTTGGAAGTGCAGGCTGGCCTCAAGTTTATAATCTCCTGACTCCTGTCAATGCAATATTTTACTTAGCATTTTTCCCACACGAGTAAAGATTTTTAATGTCATCATATTTATTTAAATCCCATTTACTTCCATGTAAATTCTGTGTCTAACTGGTATCCCACCGTGGTAGCCTTCCAAAAATCAGCACGCCCCAATCCCAGGACTCCGTGACTATCTTAAATGATGATCAGGAGGGATTTATGGTCAGAAGTCTCCATCTGGGATTACTGGTAGTACCAACACAAGCCCTTGGATGAGGGTGGTAGGAGGAGGAGACAGATAGAGACTCAGAGACATCATGCAGCAAGGACTGGCCTCACTCGTCAAGCTCCACAGAACGAGAATGGAGCCGAGGCTGTACAAGTTGGCAAGAATCCTCAGCTGAAAACCAGCAAGAAAGTGGAGATCCCAGTCCCATTACCAGAGGAAACAAAGACCTCTTCTCTCCCACAATCTCCACAGGGAAATCAAAACCCAGATAATACCTAGATTTTAGCTTGGCAAAGATTAAAAGAAGAGAAGCCAGGCAAACCCATGGAACCTGCGCCCTACAGAGCTTTCAGATCATCATTTTATGGTGCTTTCCGTTGCCGAGCCTCGAAACCTAGTATAACTGTAGTCGATTATCTAGGTCATCAACATTCCTTGTCGCTAAATTTGGA